ATATATTATTTCAAAGATATGTGTGTTAGCAGAATACTGCTAATCATATACTAATTTGAGTAAGGATAGAATGTTTGTTACAATTTAGTGTCCAGACACCATTTTAATATAATAATTAACACTATTTTATTAGTATTATTATTATTATATTTATTATCTATTATATGTTTAGTTGCGGTGGTAACTTACTGATAAATGTTGGTCCAACTGCTGATGGACGCATTTTGCCCGTATTTGAGGAGCGTCTGCGAGAGCTTGGAGAATGGATGAAAGTAAACGGTGAAGGGATCTATGCTACCAAACCATGGAGAGTTCAAAACGACACCTTAGCCCCACAATTGTGGTAAGAACTAGTTTTCCCTAGTTATGTTCATATTCTGTTTTTATAATCAGGCAGTATTTAAGAGAAACAACTTGATTTCCTGCTGCACAACAAGAGATCCATTCATAGAAACCTTTGTGAAAAGTCTATCCAGTGGTGGTTTGGGTACCAGCCAACTCCTATTTTGAATTTAGAAAGATTGAATTGTGTTAATTTGAGTATACACTGCACACAATGTTTACAAAGGTTCTAGGCCTAAGGCTGAACCTTGATTTGGAAGTTAATATTTTATTATTTTTTTTTCGAATAACCTTTAACCTTTATTATTCCTTTTAAATTTGCTATTAAATGTAAGTTATTGACAGTTTTATCATTCATTCTATTTTTTTTTTTTTTAATCTTCTAGGTACACAAGTACACTTAAAGCTGTGTATGCAGTTACTCTAGTTTGGCCAAAGAATGGTGAGCTGACACTTGCATCACCTAAACCATCTACTGCCACTACCATAAAATTACTTGGATATCCTACTCCACTTAAGTGGACAACCAATTCAAGTGGTCAGATTGTGGTCACTTTTCCAACCTTTACACCTTTAAACCTACCCTGTGAATATGCATGGGTGTTGAAGATGACAAATGTGGATTAAAGGGGGTGGCACTGGTGTTACACCAGAAACACTACTATATTTAGATACAGTAGGCCTATATACAAATGTTTATATTTATTTTATGTTACTTGTGTTTATCCTTATACTTGTGTTTATCCTTATGTAGTTAGTAATAGTTATTTAGTTAAATTTGATTTATTTTCATAAACAATGTAAAGGAAATTGAAAACTAAAAAATACAACATTACACAAGTAATCATTTATATAGACATTAAATAATTCTTACATTTTTGTTAATACATAATGCTTTATTAGCTACTTATAGTACATTATCTTACGTTAAAATTTGATGTTTTGTTTATGAAGTTTTAACCTAGATCAAGTCATCATTTTTCAATGTATAAATGATAAATATTTTATAGACATTTATTGTTTTTAAATAGTTGTTGTTTATAGAGTACTGTATGGTTTCTAAAATGTAACATTGTCCTTAAAGGGCATATAATTGTATAGTGAAAATAGTATATATATAGATAGGTTTTATAGGTTTTATTGTTTGCAAATAATATTTTGTATTTTCAGTAATATAGTAATATAGAAATTTATAATGTAGCTTTTTGCCAAAGGAAATATGGTACCGGGATTGTATGCTGTGAAAAGTATTTCAGACATGACTATGCTCATTATATTGTATTTTAAGTCTACGACCCCCTGCATCGTTTTATGCTTTGTTTTTTTGCATTGTTTCTCGAAGCAAGTATGTACTACAAAAGTACACAACATAGAGATAACAGGAGTGACCAAATTATATTTTGAGGAATAAAAGTGTTCCACCAAAATATCCACCGTCTTTTTCATTTTTGGATGTTGTTTGTAATTATGGCATAAATGCAAATAAAATGTTCTTATTTAATAATAAAATAATAAGTTAATATAAAAAAAATAATTTAATATGTTAAAATATGTTTTGGCTTGGTCTGATATCCACAAAGATACAAGCATTCAGTGGTTTTTTTCGTAAAAAAAATGTTTTCATTCAATTTTTGAATTCTGTTAGCCTACAATTATTTTTTTACTTGAATGTGGGTAAATATTATAATTTTAATTTTCTGAAATTTTTAATCTAAATTATATTAACGGAAATGTTGTTATGAAAAATACTCAACGAAAATTCGTACTCAACGAAATGAACCAGTCGAATAAACCTATTATTTAAGCATAAAACTGGTTTTCTAGTTTCGTTTGACAACTGTAGAGTATTTTTGTTGTGCGTTCTATATATTCCTATGGACAAACAGCATAATCTGCAGGATGACAAATGCCACCCGAAACCTATTTCAAGACTTAAATAATATCAGGAACTTAAGATTTTCTGAACAAATGTGTATAGTTCACTCAACTGCAAGTAATTTCCAAATATACAGTATTGATGATGAGTATTAGGGAGTTTTCGATGCACGACGTTAACCTTAACTTTAACGGATGACGTCATAATTTATTCATCTTGTGTTGCGGAGTACGTTATTTCAGGGTTTAGTCTAGTAGGAACAGGGGGTTTCCATGCACCCCCAGGATATATTTTTTTAAATAACATTTTTGTAATCCTCAAAGGATCTGATGAACGAATTCTGATGTTCCCATCGAAAAATAATTGTCCCATGCGGTCATTTGGCGCCATTTTAGTGGCCATCTTGGATTTTGAATGAATATCAATTATTTGCATAATTTTTTAACTGAAAACCATATAAAATCAAATGAATCTCTAAATGTATATAGTAAGCAGTTTTTACGTTCTTAATACAAAACATTGACCTCGCATTTACATTTGACGGCCATATTGGCGCCCATATTGGATTGTGAGTCAATGAAAATCATCATAATTTTTATAATATTCGGTATTAACTAAAATCATATAAAATCAAATGAACCTCTAAATATATAGGCCTATAGTATAAACAGTGTTTATTTTCTCAATAGAAAACATTGACTTCGTAAATACATTGCCCAGTCATTTTGGCAGCTATATTGGTGGCCACATATTAGCGGCCATATTGTCTGTGAACTGTATTTATAAGCTTTTTGATGAGGAAGTTGATCAAGTGTTTTTCCCTGCCGTTTTCGTGTCACTAACGCGCCATGTACAAAACTCAACTCTCTCTCTCTATAGGTTTCACTATAATTTTCTATATTTGTTTAATTAAATCCGCGAGTGCTATTTCCGGCCACTTAGAGGTGCCATAATCATAGAGTTCAACCATCTGGTGAGGCTGAGGTTTTATAGACCTGTGGTGAATTCAAGGGGAGGGGGTCGAGCCGACCTGGGGCCCCATATAATTTAGTGAGAAAACAAACATAGTCACCAACCGTCTTGCATCGTGCAAGACGGTCCCGCATTTCAAAGTGATTTTGGTTGAAACATGCATTTTGCAGAAACATGTGTGATCATAAATCTGTCACGCATTTAGCACAGGTCTATGCGTGACAACGAATTGTCACAAATTCAGGGGAAAATCTATTCAAAATTAGAAGAAATTAGATTAAAAATATAAAAACGGTCATGCAGTTTAAACTTGAGTCATTAGACAGTATTCACGTCAATAGGCCTACTTCACTGGCGTGTTACTAAACATAATCAGTATGCCAATTTATTTTTGGTTTGTTTAAGTAATGAAATGTTTGTGTACATAGGGTGCTCAAATTAAACACAATGTAAGTCCTACATTGAAACTCAAATTGCATGTGGCTTTATTAAAAATATTTTTGTACCCGGTATTGTCAACAAACGCTCTTTGAAATCAATATAAAACAGTTTCAAATGCTCAGACTCTCAGGGCTCCGCCTCTTACTCTCTCCCTGACGGGTTCCGGGGTCGACGAGGCTTCTTGTCGGTAATACGCCGGTAACCCTACGCTGAGTCTGGGCCCGGGCCGGAAGTGGGACCACTCGGAATCCACTTTTGCCACCCCTGACCCCTGATCAGCATTTTACTCAAGATAACAATATAAACGAACACGTTTCCTTTGAAATCAAAGAATACGTCCTTATTGTTGACTACAAGGTCAATTTCACATTTTTAGTTCACACTCCCACCCTTAATAGGGGACCCTATTCAGCGAGATCCATTGAGGTGATATTTTTTAGTCCTGAAGGTGCCCCTATAATAGGGATTCTACTGTAATTGTATTTTGTCAACATACGGGTGTGTTATAGCTGGATATGGACACTGCATTCTTAGGAGTTATGACGATGGTGAATAAGGTGACATAGGTGATGGAATTGTTGAGTGATGGAAGGACTAATGACATTAAAAAAGCCATCATAAATGTGGCCAAATCAAGGGCAAAGATCTTTTTAAGAGGTGGAGTTGGGGAGGGGCATTCGTGATTCTACATTAAACTAAGCACACCATGGTGAGGTGCGAACATTTGAAGAAACAGTACCTCTAGATGGCTGAAAATGACACTATACTAAAGAGTACCATCATAGTCAAAATAAAGCATCAACAAATTCCTCAAGATTTTTATTTTATCACTAACTTTTAATAACAGTTGTTTGATGGCATAACATCATATTCGCACTTCCCATTTAGTTAATTTAAAAAATGTTCAGGCTCATACAGTACTTGGCAGAGGATTAACAGTTCTGTAGCCGAGGTGCAGGACGAATTCCTTGGCAGAAAGAGAGAGAGAAAAAAACAGACTTGATGATGTAGAGAAAGTAATTTGGAGGGGATCAGTGGCATTCCACTGGAAAGTTTTTATTTTATGATGGTCGGAAATGCGCTTTCATGCCTTAGTCCAATTTAATGGGGTAAAACAATAAACAAATAAAATAAATAAATATAAATGATTAAACTTATACATTCATCCAGTATCATTCGTGTTTTGCCCATGTGTTGATTGTTTATCGATGAAAGCTCGAAATGATCGCTTCTACTGTAATTCTTTTTCATGAATATTTACAATATACATACAAGTATGTATCATTAAAGCATCATTCTCATCCTGTAAGTGGCGAGTGTACTTGCTGTTGGATGTGAAGGAAATAACAAAGTTAGAAAATATGAATATACATGACAGAGAATCGATTGTCAAATAAGTACTCAATTAATATATTAAGTGACTAATCAAACCCCATCCCCTCCTAAATTTTTCAAAATAAAAAGAAATTGAGAAAAAAGAAAATTCTACTCTAATTTTAAGAGTGAGAAGAGAGTGCAATTTTTTATCGTTTTCCCTGACTGTGACTTCATTTAATTTGACTTGTGAAAATTTCCGTCCGTCCAAAGGTGCCATAATCATCATTTTCTTACCTCAACCCCAACAATTGTGGGGCTGGTAGGTAGACCTTTCACCTGTGAAAGTCTTTCAAGTCTCTGAGATCTATTTCAAATTCCTGGATTCCTAGATTTTTTAATTTTTAATTTTTTTTTTTTTTATTTTACTTCTTGGGACAAAATTATGCTAAATTTTACAAAGTTAAATAGGTCTAAATTATGCTGAAAATCATATTGCTAGGTCTGGTCATTATGTTTAGCGCCCTCTGTAGTAATTGACGAATCGCGCCCTCTATAATTGTTACTTTGAATAAGAAAAAGAAACACCAACACTCGCATGTTGGGGCGCATGGCGCTGTACTTAAACCCTAACTAGGAGGCTTACCTGTAGTTTGAAAGACATTATTAACTTAATCGTAGTTTGATTATTAAGTGAGAAGTGTATGTACTAGTACGTGATTTCTTCTCTGGTAAGTACTCATGTTAACTGGTATCTTTATGTTATACAGGAAAATGGGCATAAAATCTTCGGGAGCGGTAGGCTCCTACTACTACTATAGGCTAGCTACTACTACTAGAGGCTAACCTAGGCCTAGCCTAGGCCTAACTCATGCTCCGTCCATATAGCCATCCTAGCCTAGTAGTATTGTAGAAAATAGAGGTAAGGCCCTAAGCCCAGACTGTAAAGTAAGGCCTGCGCGGGAGCAAATTTGTGGGATATAGGATAGTTTGGTAAAATCTCATGAATTTATTCATAATCTTTCTTATAATAGACGTCCTAGACCTAGAGGTATCATGACAAATATAATGCAAGGTATTTCTTTGGAGTAGTAGTAGGGACTGCAGACGCGCTACCGCGCATTCATCTGCGCAACCTCACTTTGCAAGGTAAATTCGCGACATGTCGCTACCGTGTAAACGGTAGGGAGTCTTTTGCGTGTACCTCGTAGGGCTTTGAACATCGTAATGCCATACTTCACTCACGAAACACTCTAGGCCTAGTGCTATCGACCAAAAAAGATTGAAAAAAATTATTTACTTTTAATTACCTTAAAATATGATTTTAAGGTAAGAGAAACTTTAAATTTGATTTTTAAGATATAGGAGTTTATAAATGTGAAAGAATACCTCAAAAATCGATTCTACGCTGTTTAAATTGGTAGATATAGTTGAAACATTTTTTTCGTTTTCTAGCGAAAAATGGTGATCAAATTTCGTAAGGTAGTCTAAAGGGTACTATAGGCAAAGCCATCGTGCGCGGTACAGCCTACAACTACCGCATACTGCATACGTTTTTGTTATGCGTACAACGTACGGTGGCCTTACTAATAACTTGTATTTTTATACCCAGAAAGCCATAGTAAAAAATGAGATATTTATGGGGAATAATTGGTTTTTTTAAAACTAGTTTTATCTATTAATTTTTATCTATAATCTATAAAGTTTTTTTTTACTTCATATAATAAAAATATACCTACTCTTTTGTATTTTTGTTATTTTTGTTGTGTTTATTACATTATGAAAATAAACTTCAGAAAACATCTAATCTTGTTCAGAACCAAATACTGGTACAACACTGCCAAATTGAGACAATTATAAGATGTAATTTTTATTCATTGATTTTTTTTGTTAGGTGTTGTAACTTATTTTATTGAATAATATAAACAGTCATAATTTTAGTATTATAAAATAAAAAATACATTAAACA